TCATGTGACACAGTAGTGGTGGACACGTGATCTCGGTGACAAATACGTACCAGAAAGTGAGTAAAACTTTCATTAATGTCCTTCCATGTTTAATTTTGTCAAGTACTGTACATCACCACGGTTAATTTCCACCTGGTAAATAATCTTACTCTGGCTCTGAATACTGCCAAATTATCCAACATGTTCTCATAATGAATGAAGTGATGTTACATTCAGATGTGTTCTGAATTCTTGATGTATTCAGATGATTGAGGAATGTCTTCTGATTTCGAAAAATGAATTCCCGAAATCCGGACTTCTTTGGAAGTCTTGGAGTTATCGGATATTGGAAGTGTTAGGAACTCCAGAGGTGTTGTGGTAGTTCCGAGGAGTTAGCATTTCAGAGACAGAATCCCCCGTCGATGGTGAAGACGTTGCCGGTGTGATAGGAAGACTGGAACAGTAAAACCAGTAACATGTGAGAAGTCAAATTTCTTTTTATGATGAACAGTGTATGGCGACATTACGGGGCGGTTTACACATAGTAAATATTTCCACAGAGAAAATGATAAATAGAAAAGCTCCGGTAAGAAATAATTGTATTTTAAGTAAGGCAATAAATACTACAGGGTGGATATTACAATAAATATTGCGAAACAGACATTACTAACAACACGGATGAACACATACACCACATGTCAACATAAACCACAACATAGAGATCACATCACAACATGAACCACAACATAGAGAACACATCACAATATAAACCACAACATAGAGGACACATCGCAACATAAGCCACAGTATGATAATAATAATGATTGCCCTCCATGTAACGAGGATGGCCGGCCCAAGGGCGTGAATTTGTTTAAGATGTAGAAGCTGTCGCCAAACAACAACTACACTAAGTTAACGAGTTGCATGATCCAGTGCCAAGGAACAGTCCGAGAAGATCAGACAACTCGCCAACTAGACTGGATAACCATAACCCCGGAACATGATCCGCAAATCGATAAACATCCAGGTTCCCAATTACTGCTGGGTAGACAGAGGCAAATGACTTAACAAAACTTGCCCATAGTTACACCCTGCCCTGGGATCGAACCGGGGACCACTCGCCTGCGAGGCGAGCTTGCTGACCATTATACCCAAGGTCACCACAGCATATAGAACACCTCACAACAAAGAAAAAATCACAACATAAGCCACAACATAGTGTTATGCTGAGGCATAATTTAGTATTATAATTTTTTTGAACTAGGTGTTCTGATTATTTTCTATTCCAAGCAGCAGTTATTTTTGCAAGTTTGGGGAGGTTTTAATGTATATATTGATGTATTACTTATGTAAGAATTTTCTAGAAAGTATTGCACCTATTTTTTATGACTTACTCACGCATTTTAAGCCTAGATCATTCAAGAGCTTTCTGGGCGTATCTCATTCCAACCTGCAACGCCTAGATGACACTAAAATGCTCCAGACAGCTGAGCCAAGGGAGTAGTCGACCATTCCTGCTCAGAGTGTGAAGTACATGCCTAGTGACAGCTAAAGATAATTGGTGTTCAAGAATCGCAGAATTGTGTGAGTAAGATAAAGTGAAAAGACTAAGGAATTGTACACTGGTAGTATTCGAAGTGACAAGTCCAGTGGAAAAGACACCTTCACAAGTGTTGTGAAGATTTAATGATTATTGAAGAGGAATACAGTTCACAAGTGTGTTTCTGTGACCTGGAGGAATTCTACCTTTTATTTCATTTTTTTTTTTTACGGAGAATAGCCCACCCGGGCACAGGTCATCGAACCACATCGAGGGCTGGGGGGCGAACAAATATGAATAAAACGAAATTAAAAATAGAAAAGACAAAGGTTATATTAATTTACACCACGAAGATGCCGGAAAGCCAGCTTTTTAAAGTGAGACAGATTGTGTGAGTGTGGAAACATAGAAGAAGGCAGAGCATTCCAGAGTTTGGCTGTGTGAGGAAAGAAGGATATACTATAACGTGTTATTCTAGTGTGACCGACATCCACAGAGAAAAATGGTGGGCATTGCGGGCAAGACGTGTGTTACGAACCCACGGCCTTGCCGGCGGTACACAGGATGGCAAATCCACTGTTAAAGTACCTGTAAAAGAGAGAGAGAGTGAAGCAAAATTGCGGCGAAGAGAAAGGGAAGAAAGATTGTCAACTAAAGTAGGGGAGTTAATAAGACAAAATGCCTTTGATACCGCCCTAACTAACAGTTGGACAGAAGAAGACCCACCCCAGATTTGAGAGCAGTATTTCAAGTTAGAACGAATAAATCCTTTATATACCTGAAGCAACTACTCATGAGTGAAGTAGCTACGTCATCTGTACAGCATTTCCAGCTTTCGGGAGGCAGCTTTAGCAATGTTGAGGATGTGTGGCTTCCATGACATATTGGCGGAATGAAACCGTCCTGAAACCTGCCTGCTGTTTTGTTTGTACACTGATACCGATCGTCGGGAAATTACCGGAAACTGGCGGGATATCCAGTGGTACTTCAACGACACTTGTGATATATCTACTGCTTCTGTATATACGACCTGGCCGCCGGTAACGAGCGGTGGGAGCTGGGAAGCGGCGAAAAGGGTCTGTAACAATATATAGCACATCACAACATAAACCACAATATAGAGAACTCATCACAACATAAAGAACAGCATAGAGATCACATCAGAAAATAGAGAACACATCACAAAATAGAGAACACATCACAACATAGCACAGCACATACTCGTATCTGTACAATATAGCACACCATCACATAGAACGTCAATTCTAAACCCCGATACATCAACGCACAACACAGCATTACACATCACTATACATCACATCATACCACTTTTCGAAATGTCTTAAAAATGACAAATGAAATTCAATGTGGACAAATGTAAAGTACTTAGTCTGGGAGATGTGAACAGAGAAACCAGATACCAGATGAACAACGATCTTATAGAGAAATGCGACTATGAGAAAGATTTAGGAGTAATGATCAGTATAAATCTTAAGCCAAGTAAACAATGTGTATTTGTTCGAAACAAGGCTAATAAAGTACTTGGGTTCATACAAAGGAGTGTTAGTTACAAGACTAGCAAGGTCATCCTAAAATTATATCTTGAGCTTGTGAGACCTCACTTGGATTACGCGGTTCAATTCGGATCACCGAATTACAGAATGGATATAGAATCCCAAGAAGGAATTCGGAGGACAAGACTCATTCCGGGCATTAGGAACCTGAGAACAGAGATAGGTTAAAGCATTTTAATTTGCACTCCCTCGAGAGACGAAGAGTGAGGGGCGATATGATAGTAGTGTATAAATGGAAATCAGTGCTAAGCAAAGGGGACATTACAAAGGTACTCAAATTATCCAACCAGGAGCGAACTCGTAACAATGGTTTGAAATTAGACAAATTTAGATTTAGGCGCAAAATACGTAAACATTGGTTTAGAAATAGACTAGTGGATGAATGGAACAAGTTACCACACATCATCATTAATTCAATATGTTGGATAGCTTCAAACGTAGGTTGGATGAATATATGAGCAATAGGGGTTGGGTGTAAACGGGATTGCCCAGTAGGGGTCAATAGGCCCGCTGCAGTTTCCTCCATTGTTATGTTGTTATGCTCTTATAATACAATGCATCAAAATTAAAGTCATGTGGAGCCAAACCGGAACCGTGGAACAATCTACCGGTTGCTGGTTCGGGCTGCTTATAACGATGTACCGGCGATAATGAAGTCTCTGGATTCTGGATCGCTGCCTTATACATCATAGCACTTCAAATATCTTTACAGCATATCGCAACATTGTATTCATGGTACACCGCTCTAAGAAACTGGACATCACAACAAAGCACATGAGAACACAGCAGTAAAGAGCACTGTAACACTACCTCATCAGAGGCCAGGTAGACACATAGGTTAGCCACTTCCTCGGGGTAAGCCAGGCGACCGATCATTGTGTCCCTCATGTAGTCAATATGCGTCTGAAATATACAACCTAATGACAACAGGTATATAAATATGACTCTGGGACACAGAAGTAGAAATGAGAATGTGTCTTGAAAGAAATTATTGAGCATACAAAATTGGGCGTACTAGATTAAGCTCATTAAAGAGAACATATTAATGGAATTTTTAGGTGTGAGGTAGCTGAGTAGATACTATGTTTATCTCCTGTTGTAAAGTTCGTACTCTGAACACTCCCTTGTGACTGGATACGGGCAGTGTCGGTCATGCTGCCTCCTAGTGTGCCGAAGGCTTAGTATAGAGAACACTGTACCAACACTGTCTCTACGTGATTGTCAGGTGTATAAGGCTAATGTTTACCTGTAAATATTAACTGTCACAGCTAAGCTACCATTATGTATTATTGGTTTTACACGGAAAAGTTATGTTCTCTACAGACAAATTGTAAGCATTGTAAGCTTCTTCAAGTACAATACTACAAGTTATTATTTAATATATTATCGTAGACAGCGTTCATAGGCACCCGTAAAGGAAGACTCGACGATGATAACATCTGTACCTGTAATCTTAAATACTTTACTGAAGTAATGACTGAAGGCAGCAGTCTTCTGCCTGTAGTGGTATTCCATATTTTGCTGGAACACTGAGTCTTCCAGTTGTGTTGTAATTTACTCGCCTTGTCTGAGTCACATATTTGATTCACCTTCTTTGAGTCGCATTTCTATATGACTCATTTGGTCTGAGTCATTTATTTGACTTACATAATCTGAGTTAGTTATTTGGCTCACCTTGTCAGAGTCATTCAAGTCCTGTGCTCTCTCAGAGTAGCTTGGTGTTGCAACAGGAGACGGGCAGATCACGTTGCACCTGTAGGATAATTGATATTGTGGTAGCTGTGGTAACTTCAACAGCACAAAAATGATGGTTGCAGCCATTACAGTAGTGGTAGTAATATTACCAGTCGCAGCTATAATACTGTAGTAACTATTAAATGGTAGTAACAGCGGTATTAGTAGTGGTTGTTTCAACAATAGGTGTAACGATACGAATAGTACTAATAGTGGTGGGAGTAGTGGTGTCAGTAATAGTGATAATAGTAGTGTTTGTAACAGCAAAGATAAAAATAATATTACTTGAAGTAAAAGTAGTCGCAGTTGAAGAAGCAATTAGTAGCAATAATAGTGGCTAATAATATTTGTGGTAGAAAAAGTGTAAGTACTAGCAGTATCGTAGTAGTAGTATTACTAGTATAAAAAAGGTAGAGAGTAGTATAAATTGTAGTAGGGGTAGCAGTATTAGTAATAATATCAGTAGCTTTCATAATAGTAATAGCAGCAGTATTAATAGTTGTGGTAGTTACGGAAATGTCTTCCTACACCCCCTGTGGTAACCGTGTTTCCAAATGGCCAACCTATATGACCCATAGCAAACCTATCCACCAATCACGTCCGTCGTTACACGACCAATACCCATTCATTCATAAACAATGATACTACTACAACTACTACTACTACTACTTTTTTTTTTTTTTTTTTTTAAACGTGGCCTCCAGCCTCCCCCAATAGCCACACCTTCGCCACCATTTATTTACCTTAATATTAAATATCCTAATACATAAGAAGCTATCCTATCTGTGTTAAATTAGTTGAGCCGCAGATCTATGCGGCATTCAGTGACTGTAGCCTCATAGTCAATATCTACTACTACTACTAAGTTGCCGTTTAGAGACAAGGGCAAACACAGGGGGTGTAGGAATCATTTCCGCAACTGTACCAGGTAACAGCAATAATTAGGGTCCGAATAATTATGCATTTGCATATGTACTGTACTGTGCATATACAAATGCACAGTTTAGCCATTATTGAGCTAAAGTATTTACTTATATAGTTTTTGTTTTATAAGGCATATTTTGGGTAAACACTAAGTCATTATAATAAATTATTTATCCTTCTCTGATATTTAAAGTGTTAATATGATCTAATAACAGTGGTTCATTTGTTAGTGAACGTATATAAGTATAGAATGTGTATAGATAACTGGTTATTGATAAGAAACTGGTTATAACGTGCGTAGTTGGTGAAAAAAATACTGCTATTTTCTACGACTGATAATTGGGGAAAAAAAATATATATATATCATGTAGATCCACAATAGAAATGTGGACAAGATAAATCTCGATAAAACCACAAAGGAAAATGGAAACAATGGAGCACCTTAGATTTCGTCTTTATTCAAGACTTCTTCAGAGGCAACTGAAGTTGCCTCTGAAGAAGTCTTGAATAAAGACGAAATCTAAGGTGCTACATTGTTTCCCTTTTCCCTGCGTGATTTTATCAAGATATATATATATATATATATATATATATATATATATATATATATATATATATATATATATATATATATATATATATATATATATATGTTTGTATGTATGTATGTGTGTGTGTGTAAGAGAAACGTGTTGTGTTAAGCAGCAGATGTGCTGATGTGTTGGCCACACCATGATGAAACCTTTTGTGAAACATTAGCTATACTCCAGGATTCTGGTACTACATCAATTTTTAATGACATGTTAAAAAAATTTTCTAAGGGCATACTAAGTTCTTCCTTATAGTCCTTTAATACTCTGGCAAATATTTCATCTGGACCTGGTGACTTATTAGGCTTTAGTTTGTATATGTGTTTACTAACGTTGTTACTAGCATCTACTATCTCGCTTAATCTATTTCTTCACGATCTCCATATATAGTCGGTGCCTTGGATATCATGTTTAGATTCTCGCTGGTGAAACTGTTGAAAAATATCCATTCAAATTATTGCTCATTTCTCTGTCGTTATCAGTTAGCTCGCCGGTATCTGACTGTATTGGTCCAATCTTGTTTCGTGTTTAAGTTTGGTACATTTGAAAGAATCCCTCGGGGGTTGATTTCACCTCCCTTGCTACCATTAATTCATTATTCCACTTTGATTTTCTTATCTCGGTCTTAACCTTACTGGCCAACACTTTTTAATAATCTCGGAGGTAAATTTCACCACGATTTATTCTCCTACCTATAGCCTTCCTTTGTCCAATAATATTCTTCAAATAATTATTTATCCATTTGGGGGCATTGCTATTTGATCTGAGTTTTCTGTATGGTATATTCTGCCTTTGTGCATTAAATAACTCATTATTTAAGTTGCTTTGGAACTCGTCAACCTCAGATTTCGTGGTTAAGTCAACAATCATATTTTGTGAGGTTATCGTTGTCTTGTCTCCAGGTAAAGTGAGGTTGTCCTCTGTGAGTACATTGTGTGAGGTCACCTCATGTGAGGTCATGTAATTCACTCTCAAACGTACTACCCCATCATTATTTATTTAAATAATTTATTACACCCCAGGGAGCGACAAGCCTAGTCACAAGGTCGTGCAATCAGAAACTAATACAGTGGTACTCGTGTCTCGCAGGACACACTATGACTTATGAGATGGAGACATTGATGTGAGTTGAGAACAATGGGATTTAGCACCCCCAAAGTGTGGGTAGAGTACAAGAATTATATCTAAATTATTATGTAGAAGTAAGTGGTGAAATATAGTGTTTAGTGACACTTCCTGTGGTGGGAGGTCCTTGACAGTGAGACAGTCAAGGCAATAGTGTTGAAGGGTGTAAGCGTTGGGACAGCAGAGTTTACAAGAAGAGAAGTGTAGGACATCCTGCAGATCACGATATCTGACGTTGACGAGTTCCACAACAATTTAAAAATTGAGTTCCTTAATGCACAAAGGCAGAACATACCATACAGAAAACTCAGATCAAACAACAAAGACCCTAAATAGATAATTAACTATTTAAAGAAAATTATTGGACAAAGAGAGACTATATATTGGTAGGATAATAAATAGTGGTGAAGTATACCCCCAAGGTTACTATAAGGTATTGGCCAGTAGGGTTAATACCGAGATAAGAAAAGCAAAGAGGAACAATGAACTGAAGGTAGCAAGGGAAGCGAAGTCAAACCCCCAAGGGATTCTTTCGAATGTATCAAACTAAAACACGAGACAAGATTGGACCAATACAGTCAGACACCGGCGAACTAACCGAGGCACCGACTATATACATAGAGAGGTAGTGAAAAAATAGATTAAGCGAGATAATAGTGATTAGTTACGATGTTAGTAAGCAAATAGACAAACTAAAGCCAAATAAGTCGCCAGGTCCCAATGGGATATTTGCCAGAGTATTAAAGGAATATAAGGAAGAGCTTAGTATGCCCTTAGCAAAGTTGTTTAACATATCCTTAAAAACGGGTGTAGTACGAAAATCCTTTGGGATAGTGAAAGTAATACCGATTTTCAAGAAGGTAGATATAATATCACTATCCTCTAACTACCGTCCAAATATTTTAACATCAATTGTAGGCAAATTACTGGAAATAATAATTTTAAACTCTATAAAAAATCACCTGGAGAAGCAAAAGTTGATCAATGATTCCCAACATGGATTCACAAGCAGGCGTTTACGTCTAACTAATTTGTTAACATTCTTTTATTCTGTTTTCGAATCAGTGGACGACGAGAGGGGGGGGGGGTGCTGGTGGAAGAGTGGTACCGCTCTTACCTTTGCAAGCGAGATGTCACGGGTTCGATTCCCTGGCCGGTGGAAGTTGTTTGGACATACTTCCTAGCCCCCATTAGTCCCTGTTCATCTAGCAGTACAGTAGGTACCTGGTGTAAATCGAAAGTTGCGAATTCGTATTCAGGGACAAGTTGTTGGAGCTTCCAATAACTTGATGACATAAACCATTGACTCTTCAGGCTTCTATGCCCTTAACTCTTCAGGCTTCTACGCCCTTAACTCATGAGACATAAAGGCAAGCATGAACTTAGCATGCTTCCCTGTTGGGCACTTTAAACGCTTCTGCGCTTCACCTTACACAAGGATGTAGGGGAGTGCCCAATAAAAAGAAAAAAGAAAAAAGTGGACTATAGGCTTCACAATGATGTGGTATATCTTGACTTCAGCAAATTCTTCGACAGTCTCCTACGAAAGACGAATAAGAAAAGTGGAGGCTCGTGGCATTGGAATAGAAAATCTAAAATGGGTTAGGGCGTGGTTACAGGACAGGAAAGAGCGAGTGAGCATTATCGGCACTAAATTCGATTGGAGTAAAGTCACTAGTCGAGTACCCAAGGTTCAGTACTTGGACCACCATTATTTATTATATACATAAGCCACATAGATATCGGCTGAGACAGCAACATAAGTAAATTTGCTGACGACACTAAAATAGGGCGTGTAATTAAATCTGACGATGACTCCGCAAAACTAAAGGAAGACCTAAGCAAATTTTTTCAATGGTCTGAAAATGGCAGATGAAATTCAATGTGGACAAATGTAAAGTACTTAGTCTAGGAGATGTAAACAAGGAAACCAGAGACCAGATGAACAACGATATTATAGAGACATCCGACTGTGAGAAAGACTTAGGAGTATTGTTAAGTAGGAATTTTAAGCCAAGTAAACAATGTGAATTTGCTCGAAACAAGGCTAATGAAGTACTTGGGTTCATACAAAGGAGTGTTAGTTACAAGACTAGTGAGGTCATCCTTAAACTATACCTTGCGCTTGTTAGACCTCACTTGGATTAAGCAATTCAAATCTAGTCACCTTATTACAGAATGAATATAGATCCCTAGAAAGAATTTAGAGATGTAGAGTGAGGGGCGATTAGGATAGAGGTGTATAAATGGAGGTCAGGGCTAAACAAAGGGGACATAACAAATGTACTCAAACTATCCAACCAGGAGCTAACTCGTAACATTGGTTTTGAATTAGACACTGGTTTAGAAATAGAGTAGTTGATGAATGGAACAGGTTACCAACATCATCATTTACTCGAATACACTGGATAGCTTCAAACATAGGTTGGGTGAATATATGAGCAATAGGGGTTGGGTGTAAAT